TGAATTATCAGGTACACATACCCAAAAGCAAAACAAGACAGACCCAGACTGGCATTCATATAACACACCAAAGGGTTTATGCCGTTTGTCTAACTTGTCATGTGAATAGGAAAGACCCTGATCTATCGACACTACATTACTTGTGATGGATCTGAAACTATACTGTTCACAATTCTGAGTTAAAGATACGACTGGCTAAATAAGGTATATTAAAGCTGCATTTTTTCAAACCTGACCTAATTATTGGCAAAATTACTCAAATGTTACACAATAATTCTGTGGCTCACCAAATTTTTTTTTTTAATAAACTTATCAAAACGATCACTTAATAATCAAAATTTACAATGAATGAACAGTAAAGTTTGTTTTTAGACCTTCAAATATATATATTTATATATATAACAAATTTATTTTGGTGAAAAAGTACTTCACTAAATTCACAGGAGGTCCATGTGGATCTGTGATCACTTGTCTGCCTGATATTAGCTAATCAGCTAAACGCAATTGCAGTTTGTTAAGAAATCTGGTCCTGCATGAAGATTTCTGCTGAAATTTCTTCCAATGTTGACAGCATATTAAAATAGTTGCTTTGAATCTTCAAACATTATTCTTATCTTTATCCATATTTGATGGCACATCAGCATAACTTGTCAAATATTTAATGGCCCTCTATACCAAGATGTCAAGTATGGCCAAATTCCATTGGATGGTTATGGAAAAGTTGTTTACATGTCTATTTTTAGTAACAGTGGCCATGTTTGATGACAGATCAACATTATGCCAATTGTCATCACTTTAGTATTTTTTCACACTGATTGGTGAAATTCGAGTAGTTAAAAGCTTTTTTGTTTTGTAATAGCAGCCATCACTTGTAAAGACCTTCATTCCAGGATGCTTTCTGTAAAGTGTGGTCAGATATTTTGGAATGGTTTTGAAGAAGCCATTTCAAGAATTTTGTAGTTTTAGTAATTGTGGTCATATCTGATGGTAGATTGGCAAAATTTTTACATAAATTTTGAAGCAATCTTTACGTCAAATTCTGTTCTGCATATCTGTAGAAGAAATAATTTAAAGCTTTTATATTGTTATTAACAGGGGCCAAATTCAATTGCAGTTCAGAGTCATTTGTACAAATCTGAAAGGTCTTCATGCCAAAATGCTTCTAGTCATATCTGGTTTAATATTTTGTTTTAAAATTTATGCAAAGAAGATGTGTTTTGTTTTATCTAATTATAATAGTGTTTATATTTAGAGGTATATCAGCTTAATTTTATAAATATATTAAAGGTCATCCTGCCATGATACTTTCTGTTAAATATAATCAAATTCTGTTTAGTGGTTGTTGCAAAAAGTAAATAAAAGACTATGATATGTGGCCACATATGGCAGATTGACTTGATATAAATTTGATGCCAGGATGCTCTGTACCAAATTTGGTTTCTTGGTTTTTGCAGTTGACAGAGCTAAATGCAAAAATTACAAACTCTGCCAACATGACTTTTTTAATTTATTTTTAACAAGTAAATTAATTTCAATTGTTAGAAATATAATTTGTAGTAGATGACACCAAAAGCAGAACACATTTACTGTGGGTACTTTTCTGTAAGGCATTAATTATGGAAAAACTGTTTCCTTGTTATACTAGCTGACCCCCTATGTTGAGAAACATTTACAAATGTGAACCTAATTCTACAAGAAACAGTAGTTCAACATCTTGAAGTAGCTGGCTTTAAATTAAATGTATATGCTAAGTCAATGCACAATTACAAAAAAAATATGAGTGTTGTAAAAATAGTCAGCTCAATAGTATTATAGTAATTTTGCTAGCAATCAGTAGATTATTATACACATAATACTTTTCAGAAAGATACAAAGTTACAAAAACTTGTACAGATGGAGCGGACTTGTACTGGAATTTCCACTGAGAATTTCCTTCTAAAAGTCCTACTTCTACCTGAAATTGATTTTCACTGAACCTTCTCACAATAACAGAACTCTTGTGTTATCAAAGTTTAAAGTTCTCATTTTATGGGGGGGGGGTTGAGAAATAGTGGAAGGACAATCGATTGTGTAAAATTGTACCAGGAAGAGACATATGCCGCTCACTATTACCAGTTACAGGGTTTATTCTTTAGCAGATATTAAGGCTTAGGGAGAAAATACCTACCTTCAGTTTAAAAAATGGGGGAAATCATCTGATATAGGAAGGATTTAGTGAAGAAATAAAGATAGGGCTTAAAAATACTATGCACAATTTTCCTGCATTTAATTTTGAGTTTTAGTACATCATTTGAAACATTTGTGTGAATCTTACAAATTCACATCATGTATTAGAACCTTCAAAGGATGCATCAACTACTAAATTTACATAGGTGAATGCTAATCCAAGGAAAAATCATACAAATTTTCACTGGGTGCATGATCTCAAGAATGATTATACTTTTGCTGCATATTTTTTGAAGAGAAAAATAATTTTGTGCAAAAATAACAATGACTTGGAAAGCAAACATCTCCAAAATACCTCCATGGCTACTTCAGCAACCAAGGATACTTTTCACGTTACATGATGGAAAAAAAATCTGAGACAAACCCTTCCATTTTCCACAACTCTTACCATGAACTCCTCTCACAATTTGAAAATTATACAAAAATATATACCGATGGATCAAAAGATGAGGAAAAGGCTGCTGCAGCCTTCGTAAGTGGAAAACACAAAACCAAAGTTAACTTGACAGATGGTACGTCAATTTTTTCAGCCGAAATTAGAGCAATAGACCTTGCTTTGCAATACATTGCAAGCAAACGCATTTCAAATAGCATAATCTTCTCCGACTCACTATCAGTACTTCAGTCACTACATAATAGAAAACTGTAGAATCCCCTATTGGCTAATATTCTTATTAAGCATACTGAGTTGAGTACCTCACATAATATAGTATACTGTTGGTTACCCAGCCATGTTGGAATTAAAGGTATCAATAAAGCAGACAGCGCTGCTAAAATGGCCCTATCATTAGAACCATCTGATTTTAAAACACCATATACTGATTTTAAACATTGTATCAAAGACTGTTTACGTCAGAAATGGCAGGCATCATGGAATGATGCCGTGAATAATAAACTTCATACCATCAAGCCAATTCTAGGAGAATGGACTCCTTCCTACAGAGCCGACCGTAGGGAAGAGGTAGTCATTGCTAGAATTCGAATCGGCCATACTTATTTAACCAACTCCTACATACTAAAAGGAGAAGACCCACCAGAATGCATATCCTGCAATGAACCATTCACAGTTAAGCACTTTATGCTGGAGTGTTTCGACCTCCAATCTACACGTAATCAATATTACAATGTGCAAGACATGAAGGAGCTCTTTGATACAGTTAGTATTTCTTATGTTATAGACTTCCTTAAAGAAGTAAACCTATATCATAAGTTAAAACTTCTATTTTATCATCTTAAACATTTTTATGTGCTTTATATATACGGTTGCTAGATTTTAATTACCTTTTATATGTTTTGGTTGTCATATATTTTTTGCAATCCACGTTGATCGGGGAAACTATTTTTTATCACCGTTACCATTCTTATCGTTTTACCTTTAGCTTTTTGGTTTTGTATCACTGGCTGATAATTCCCTTTTTACCATTTGTATATAATAAAGAATATAACCTTTCATATGGCGCTATATGGCCTCTTTGTGCTGAAGCGCCGTAAAAAAATTCAACCAACCAACCAACTTGGAGTATGACGTTTTTCAAAGACTTAGTTTTGTTTGGATTTGATGAAATTATGAGTAGCCATAATTCAGACAGAGTAAGTAGTTACAGTGTTTAGATACGACACAATTCAAATTAGAGTCTATACTTGCTTATAAGTTGAGTCAAACTGCAAACAACAAAGATCCTGATATGCCATAGCATAATGCACATGCTATTAGTTCTACTGATTACTAATAACAAACTCCAAAGATCCAGATCTGGTGCATTATGTAATGGCAGATCCGGGCCTGTGCAGTTTGCAGTTGGACGTGTCTTATAAGCGAGTAATAACAGTAGTCAAGTGTTTTTACTTGAAAAAAAAGAATCAACTAAGGTTCCCAAACTATACAAAAATAAAAGGCAATAAACTCATTTTGTTCTGAACCAACTTATTGCAACAGTGGTCATACAATTTTATCTTTACACATACACACTTGGGTATATTGAACTATAGAAAAATACAAAGTAATTTTAACCACAAATGGTTTATAGATACTGATTATGTGTAAGAGCACTTCAACCTGATCTACTATGGATCTAAGAATGTAAATACAAATACGTTCCTTTGTGGTTTGGTCCATACAATCTCTGGCACAAAGATCCAAAGTGTACAAGCCCCTAGATTAATACCAAATCTATTTACATACAACAACAGCATAAACCCAGACTTAGTGTTGCCAGAATGTAAACTTATCAATCAAGCTTATCAATTCAACTTTGTAGAAGGAAAACTACAAAAAATTTTTATCTAGACAATTTCTGTGATAATTCACAACCAAATGATATCGCTAAATTACAAGAATATCATTAAACGTCAGTTTAGCTGCAGGGTGCAGGTGTCAATCTGCCAATTAAACTAAAATTCTTTACAAAAAATATATCATTAGCATCACAGTAACTCACCTTATCAGTCGATCAAATAACTTTTTCATATTCTAGAAAAACCTTGATTTGGCATTAAAACGAAAACTTGCTTTCTTTTAATAAGACCTTTGTATAGCTGATGTGATGTTATGTTATTATGATTTTTAACAATTTTTCAGTCATATCGCTACAATGTCTCCAGTGTGGCAGTTTATAGAGATGTCTAGCACCAGGGCATCATACTGCAGACATGTGGCATGATGTCCCACCCAGTCACATTACCCTGACACCAGGTTGACCAGTCCTAACACTAGCCTCTTAATGCTGAGCGTCAATCGAGGCAGCTTTAAATACCATTTTTGTAAGTCTTTGGTATGACTCAATTGGGGATCGAACCCACGACATCCTACATCTGAGGCAGACGTTCTAACCACTAGGCCACCAAAGCAGTTCCCTTTTTATAGCAGACACCAAACAAAGTCACACAAGATTACAGAAGAACAATACTAAGCTGTTTTATTCCTATCATCCTGCACTAATGGTCTGATCTGCTGCTGCATTATGTAATGACAGGTCTACACATGCTGCAACATAGAGCTGATGCACTTGAGCAAGCAACACTAATTAACATAAGATACATACAACAATTTTAAAAAAAATCTGCATAGGATATAACAATAAATGTTACTTACAATAGAAAATAATTGGCAGATATATGCACAATAATTAAACTTCTGGGTACTATAAAGCTATCATTCTATTGGAATACCAGCACATAATTTATTAACTCTACCTCTCGTTGATCTGGCAATAACTTTTTTAATCTGAATTTCAAGATTTTCATGGAATAGGGAAAACTTTATCCAGTTTACAATGGGTATAAAGAACCAGCTAAAGGTAATTATGAAGACATGGTCTTCATATTCAGACAAGTACGTATTCATTACTAAATAATTTGGACCTATTCATCTTGAACTTCCCATACAGGTGGTGTTTATATTCAGGTGGTGGCTGTAGAGGTTAATATATGCTGGCCTTGTCAGGGGTTAAACCTATAACTCAAAGATTACGAATTCAATGCACAACAAATGAACTACTGCAATATGTAAATTAAAAGACTAGAATTTTTGCCCCATGTCCATTTTTTTAGCAACAAATACAGACAGCATATCATGATTACAAAATCATAAGAAAATCTTGTATATCACAGATATATACCAATGAATTATCTGCTATACTCTGAGGTACATGTCTATGAAATGTGTATCCAACAGACAATGGACACCAAATATTGATTTTTAAGCAGCATAAAGATAATTATAAAACAAATGGAGCGACTATTCACACAACAATTGATACATAAACCCTAAAATACATCATTAATAATAATAAAATAAATAATATATAATAATAATAATATTAATAACAATATAAGTGTTTCTATAAAATCAAGCAATTTGTATCTGCTGCTAACCATTTTTTTGTACAGTAGTTATAACAATATTTTAAAAATGGCTATCAGAGCAATTAAACAAGAGGTCAGATCAGCAAGGTTTTCATTTAACCAACAAAACATCAAAGCCATTTAAAGTGAAAAATCAATGCTATTACACCGATCTGTTCAGGATTAGCTATAATAACGAAATGTTATGAAATAGATGTCAGGTCAGTGCCATTCTGATTCAGAACCAACCAGACATCACAAGAAATCCTGCAGTGAAAAGCCCATTCTGATGTGACTATCCGTTCAGCAGGAAGAGACAAAACAAGATTTTTAAGATGTTAGACTCATACCACCCTGATTTAGACCAACAAGACATCTCGTCGTGAAAATCCCATACTGATATGTCCATCTGTTCATGAGAAGTGAAATGGATGTAACATTGGCATCATTTTCAGTTAGGAACAACTAGACACCATAGAAAACTTGTGAAAATCACATGACCATCCATGAATAGTGATAATAACACTTTGAAAATGGTCACCATGGTACATATATTAGTTGTCCAAGCTGCACCAGTTTCATTTTGAACCAGCTGGACATCATAATAAGTCTATTAACAAGAAAATCCATGCTGATCCAATCATCCATCATACAGTAGCCATAAAAGGACTTAAAGATGGATATCATGATGGTCATCAGATCCACTGTTTTCACTCAGGACCAACTCTCATTTCCATCCTAATATGACTCAGGAATATCAAATACAATATTTTGATAAAGGCCACCATGGTGGACATACTGGACATTAGAGTGAACATGTCACAGAATAAAATGTCAAGTTTTAAATTGATTCCTGTCAAGTATAAAGAGAATCAATCATAATGTTTACATTGGTTGCTTAGTTTTAACACATTGTTGGTTTTAACATGCTGAGGAAATAGGAGCTGCAGGTCTTTCCAAATGAGACACAAAGGTAGGGCTGACCTGAATGGGTATTGAATCAATGACCCTTGGATTACAAATCCAATGCTGTACCAACTGAGCTTCCAAAGCTCCACTATTGAAATTTATGACTGAAAATTTACTAAATCCCTAATGAACTGTTGATAATACCAGCAAAACAATAATCATTTATATCTTGCTTTGCACTAATGTGTATTCAACAAAAGTTTTTCTCTACAGGTTTAAGTCGTACCTTGTCAGTTGGTTACCATATGTGGAAGATATAATTTGTAAGCTTTCTACATCAGCACACCCCTCTCCCATTTCCTCCTGGCTATGTGTAGCGTCAAGGTAATTTTCAAATCTTCTTTAAGTTTTCAGTTAAAGGTTTTCTGTCTGATTGTAGACTCAAACCTTAAAAGATATAGCTATCATACATGGATTGTTCAATCAGAAAGCTCTGCCCTTTTACATTCATGCACTCCCACCCTCTTTTGATCCTCATGCAAAGTCGAGGTCATTCCAAATATGTTTTGTTTTCAGTAAAGTTCTCTCCCATACTTGGACTGTAGAATCAGGAAAAGGAAATTTTATCCTTTCATATCTGTGCTCCCCTACCCTTCCTTTGACCCTCATGCGAAGTTAAGCTCATATGAAAGTGAAAACAATATGTATCAAACAGTTGAGCAGGCAAGACATATAATTCTCACATTCCCATATGCTTGTTCTCCTGCATGAAACACCAGTGCAGGACAGCTCTATCCTTTCTCAGTTGACTTTTATCCAGCCTTGTGCACTATTTTGACCATCTACTTTGAGAATAGTGGATACAAAGTAGCACACAATCCACAAACCAACCATCTACGTTGAGAATAGTGGACACAAAGTAGCACACAATCCACAAACCAACCATCACTTGTACATTCTTTCACAATAATCAAGGCTAAAACATAACATTTTTAGGGCCAATAACAAGGACAAAACCCCAAAACAATTACAACAAGGCTGCCTGGGGTAAGCATAACCTCTGACTATTTCATGCATATGAACTAATAAGAATAACATCATGATGAACATGTCAGATTATGTACAAGATATGTAATATATGAACATGTCAAATATGTAAATAAACATTAATTGTAACACAATTAAATACATAAAAGAGCAGTGTTTGATGTTTTTCACAAACAGGCCATTTGTCACTGATCGACCTAGCTATATCCAAGACATATTTAGTCCATTTCAAGTTGAAATGCCATTTTTGTAAATGTTTTTATTCAGTAATGTTTTCATCATTATTTTTTAAGGGTAAATCAATTGTAGATCAAATTTGAATTATGGACTATTTCATTATATCTTGTCCACTTGGATTAATCATACAGATAAAAGTTAACTTTATATTTTGACCTGTTCACATTTGTATCATTGTGCAAGCTATATGCAGTACACAATTCAGACACAGTGAATTATCATTACCACAGCAATTTCAACTACCGTTCTTTCAAAGCTAAAATGTGTTTAAAACGTCACTAAAATTTTAAAATTAATTTTTCAGTGTAAAACTTTTAAAATCTATCTTTCGGTGGGGAATTTTAATTGGTTTTTTTTTCCATTTAAGGTTACAGCAGTATTCACAATATGCCCTCATATTTTGTCAGGAAGTGTGCATCATTGTGCTTCTGAGTAGAGTAAGACAGTTCTACCCTTGTAATAAAAATTTTATATCTTTGGTCTGATACAAAATTCTACCCTAGGGTGGAAATTTACTGTCCTATATAAATGCATATAATGGAATCTATTATTCCTTGGAATTCCTTGTTAGTTCAATGTTGTAATTCCTACAGGGATGGATACACATCCAAAGCTAATGACAAGCAGCAGCATCTATATAGTACCAAAACACAAACCTTAAAATACTTGTATGAAACATAATGGTGACCTTTGTCTGATACAAGTCCACATGATGGCTGTACATATAAATAGCAATGGCAATAGTGAGGGATATACAGACCTAAAGGCTAAAACATGACATTTTTAGGGCCAAAAACAAGGACAAAACCCCAAAACAATTACGATAACTTCTGTGACAATTTCATGTATATGAACTAATAAGAATAACCTCAACAACATACTGTTAAACATCTTATGTTGTTGTTCTGGGGTTTAACGCCATTTTTCAGCACACAATAATACATGGCGGCCAGTATTAATGGTGGAGGAAGAAACCAGAAAATCCACAGAAAGAACCACCGACCCACAAGAAGCTACTGGCAAGCTTTCTCACATATCCACATTCGTCAAATCTTAGACTCAAACCCACGCAGACATAGGTGAGATGGCAGTGATCAGTAATGGAGAGCGCTTTAGACCACTTGGCCACTCGGGGCCCCATGCAACTTATGTTATATTTTTTCTTTCATAATATGTACTTTTTGATGAATGTGTTAGATGTACATGATGAACATATCAGATTATGCACTACATGATGAACATGTCAGATTATGTAATACATGATATGTCAGATTATGTAATATATGATGAACATGTCAGTTTATATAATACATTATGAACATGTTTATGAAGCAATTTAAAACATTTTAGGTATTGTGTTCATCTTTTTCTTCATTTCTTCACTCATCTCCTCCTCCATAGGTTCCCTCAGGCCCTCACTGACTTGACTTTTTCCAGCCAACTCAAGAAAAGCTTTGGCTGTTGCATCCTTGTCCAGTATACTTTTCTTTGCATGCTGGAAAGAGAGACATGTTACATTGTCACTTTAACATAGTACAGTAACTCATGATTTGATACAACATATTTCTGGTAGACCATATGTCATCTATAATGGGGTAATTCAGGGGTCAATACTTCGACCCATACTCTTTAATAGATTTATTAATCATGATGACCTTTTCTCTTCTGGAAATGGATCTAACTTTACAACTATACTGATTACACCATGCTAGCATATGCCCACCACAAATTCAACATTATGACTCTACCATGGAAAAACTCTTTCATTCAGATAGTGAAATACAAGCTAATCTTGTTAAGTTCTGTGCTACTGCACTTTGTAAAAACAAAATGCCAAAGCAGACTTGATATTGCTCACCTGGTAACAAACAAACATAAGCTTGTGAAAGCAAATTAATGCAAGTATTTAAACTGTGGAGTGGAAAAATATGTGTGAAGCATTTCGCTGCCACAATGTCTATATGACTAAACAAAATAAGTCATTCTAAACAGAAATTAAAAGATTGGTTGCAATAAGATTATTAAAAACTCATCTATTCATCTATCTCCCTCAATTTACTGTAGATGAACTACAGTTGCATTACACAAATCAACCCGTCATCAGTATTTTTCAACAACATCATATATTATGATGGTAAGATATATATATATATATATATATATATATATATATATATATATATATATATATATATATATATATATATATATATATAATTTGCATCTGTCTGATGTAACTTGCTGTAACTTTGAACTTACCAGAATTATAAAATGGCATGCAAAGGTAACCATTACTGAATTTTACTTTAGTATATATCCAGTAGGTACTAAAAAATATTGGGAGAAATAGTAAACAGCTAGCTAAGTATGATCTCTAATATTGTTACCTATAAACAAAACATCAAGAAAATTTGGAATTTGCTTCTAAGTTGTATTTTTATTTCAAATTCTATTATATAGTAAGCAAATGACCAGGTTTTGTTCCCAGAAAATTGACAGAATTGTATGTCTGGATTAATGACAGCAATTCAATCTTGAAGTGGTTTATAAGAAAAGCATAATGGGTTATTGCTTTATATTAAAGGCCAACAATACCGAATATAAATTTGAAATAATATGCAAATAATAAAGTATGAAATTCCATAAAATAATGAAAACAATTGAAATATAATATCAAATACTTTTGGCATTTTAATGCAACATTAACATTTAAAACATTAGTGATTTTTAAATCTCGTTGACAAATGAAGTTTCGAGTATGCACCAGAAACTCACAACAATACTTGATTTTTAAGCTCAACCCACAAAAAATACCTACCATATATACTTGCATATAGTTTGCATATAATCTGGCTCTCAAACTGAACATATAAGCCGACCCACAATTCCAAATCATCACAAGATGCATGAAGTATGCATTTATTTAGACAAACTTATATTAATAAAAATTACATGTATACTTATTTTGGGATTGGCATGCATGATTATTAAAAAGAAATGGTATAAACTTGTTTGAAAAGTAATATATTTAATTTTCAGTTTACTTATTGTTTCTGCCTAATTTAGATCTGTGCATAATTAGGTCAAAATGACTAGAATTTAGCAATCACAAGTTGCTGTAACACTACCTCTCCCTTTTGACTCTATTATTGTCTGTTTATGCATTATTGCATTGGACATTTTATATCAGTGCACCAGTAATTGTGTTTTTACTCAGCTTTGAAATTGTAAATACCTAACTCATTAAAATGTGATCCCAGTATGACAACACAATGAACAATATGGTTTGAGTCAAGGATTGCAGTTAGATTACTGAATGTATTTACATAATGGTGCCACCTTGTGCACACTGTAGGTTTTAACAGGTACTGAATGAAGTACATTCTGCTGAATGAAGTACGTCCCTTGGAGTCAAATCATGGTTACTACTGTGCTAAACTTTAATGATATCTCCAAAATACAATAATGAAGTTTTCAGAAATAATGCTTCGAAAATTATGCAATACCGTAGAAGCTGAATTTAGTTTGCTTTGATGTAAGTGACCTTAAACCATACCTGTTGACTTTCATGCCAGGAGAAATTAAAAAAACTCCTGATTTTGAGGTTCACTATATGCCTACCTCCCGATTTCATACTATCTCCCGATTTTTGCAGAGAACTCCTGATTATTAAATTATGTCTTTGATCTTTATTTCTCATAAAAAAGAAAAGTCCTACATGTTCTGTTGCATCACTTGTGAATATTGTTTTGACAAATAATTTACTAGAAAGAATTCAATTCTTCACTAAATATAAACACTATCTGTATAAATTTATGATTTTTTAAACCTTTACAACAAAAAAAATTAAAAACAAATAA